GGGGGGGACACCGCCTGGGCGTCAGCGCTGCTTGCTCCCTGATCGCGGCTTTCCCCTCGGGACACTCTCCCCTCCCAGGAGGTGCCGCTTAGCAGGGCCAGCAAGGATCCTGCCCTTTCCTCACAGGATTTGATGTATTCTCTGGTTCAAATAACCATGTGCACTGATTTGGGGGGAGGGGGGGTTGGTTCTCCTGCTACTTTTATTTCAGCTTGCTGCTTTCTTCCTGTGAAAGCAGGAAGGGGTTATCCATGATAAACAGCTGGCATATGCTTCACCCCCACCCCCACCCCACTCCCTTTACTGGTGCTAAAACTTCCTCTGAGGCCTTCCTGCCATTTACACAACTTTCCTGCATGATACTGTGTCAGATTTCTGGAAAGTGAGAGCATAGTGGTATCTTTTTATTTGCTCCTTTCAGTTTGGCATAATTTGTTTAAAACAGAAACAACAAAAGACAAATAAAAAGAATCCCTTGGGTTTTATAAAACCTGAGCCCTACGGAAATATTTTTTACCACTAAGAAAATAATTGTTTGTTAAACATTCCTTTGTGGTCTTTGAAACTCAGATATTGTAGTACTAAGAACTTGGAAGTGGAAAGGACTTCATTGATTTTTATTATCAAAGCAGAATAGTATAAAATACATTACATGTAATCTTTTTATTTAAGGACCTCTGTTAATTCAAAGTAGTGTAGTACCAGTGAATTTTTTTTCAGTGTTGGCAATATGCATTTTAAGATGTGTATGTTGCCTGTGTTTATTTAAAATACAGTTTGCTAATCTGTACTGATTGGAAAACATTGCAAATTTCTGAATTTTGAGGATCAAGAAGAAAGTAAAAAAACAAAACTAGTGTAAGTCCTTAGAATGAACTTGATTTATTTTGATAATTACTTAAATAGTGATATAGATTACTTCATAGCATGTAAGTGCACTGTGTATCTTTTGTGAAAGTCTGTGTAATAGTTCAATATGAGGAACCTACTATTAAATCTTTTGTTAAGGAGTTGGGTGATACTATATTTTTTTTGTATCGGTAACTAAATTTAGTTCATAAATAGCCTTTCAGTCAAATGATGGAATGAAACTTGAATACATTTATGATCACACACCTAGAGATATTTCAAGCTCAGTAAAACTTCCTGGGTTTTTTTCTTGTTGGAATAAAATCTTTGTATTGGAATAATCCTGAATTAAGAGGGCTCCTTAAAATTTATATGTCCCCCTTTTATCTAGATCTGCAGGTTCAGAACTTGGTACCGGCCTTTCCATGCAACTGGATGCTCCTTCCCTGCTTTCTCAGCCTTCATTTATTCTCTCAACCAATCCCTGTATCACCAGCAGTGGCACCAGCTATAGCATGGTACCATCTCCACCTTCATACCACAAGTCCTTGATCCCTGTTCACCCCAGTGCCATCAGCTCCACCACCAGTGTCATGTCTACCAGAGAAGACCAAACACCCTCTACCTCCACCAGTCACCCTTTGGCATTCGCGACCCTCCAAATGAGAAATGCACCTGTTCCTTCAAAACAAAACACCCAAAGACTTGTTATTTCTGAAGCATCCAACAGTGTGGCTTCTGGAGGGTCCGTGGGACGGTACAGTAATACTGGAATATCAGGAAGCAATATTGGTCTTGCCCTCTTTGGTGTGGGGCTTGGTAACAAAGCACTGTTTCAAAGTTTAATGGAAGAAAATGGCTGCTGTTTGCTTTACATTGTGGAGGATCAGCTACCAGATGTGGAACGTGCCTTCAGTACAGAATTCCTGGCCAACACCAGGGTGCTGCGACAGCAGGATGCTGACATAGTGCTCAATGATCAACGGTACAGTCCACCAATAACTTTCATGCAGATTTCTTTATTAAGTAACTTAAGGCTTTAAAGGATAAGTAACACCATCGATTACCTTTCTTACTCTGTCTTTAGAAAATGTTACTAGAGCTAGGACACTGCTGGGGAAATCCTGCTTGTCTAACTTACAACCCTCAATATTCTAAAACTGGAGTGCTGTATTCCTTTCAACAGCTGGTGGCAGCTATAAATCAAGTTGAATTACTTTTCTGTTTATTAGAAATACCAAGGATTGCATGTAATCTAGGACCTCGCTAGGACGTTTAATTTAACTTCTGTATATGGGGCTTCTGGATGTAGCCTTATGAGCAAACAATCTGTCTGGTCTCCATGTACACTTTTGTAAAGGCTGATGTCTTTGGGCAAATTCCCTTACTTGTGTAACTTGTCTGTTAGTTTCCCTGCTGGCAGCCACTTTTCCATTGCAGCGTGATAGGCGTATTTCAGTGGAGGTGCATGTGTAAATGTAGAATAGTATGCTGTGTTTAGAGCTCTTTCATAAATATTCTGGAATGCTGATTTAGATTACAATAATAAAAACAGGTTGGCTAACTAGTGTTCCTGTCAACTTTCAAATGAAGGCAGTATTTCAGATTTCACACAAATCTTCAAAAGGAACAGTGCCCCGAAAGATGTTAGTTTACAATAGAAATCCAAAGGTAAAAATGTGTTAAATTGTACTTGTACATTTTTTTGTAATTTTTTTTGTATCTTTTGGGTTTTTTTTAAAGCCTTTCCCTGTATGTTTTGGTAACTTAGAGAGTTCAAAAAGATTTTTGAAAGAAACCATTCTGAAAGGTTTTTCTATTAATGTCTTAAGATTAAAAAAATGCAGTTTACCTGTGTTCATAAATAACTTTTTAAATATGTTATTTATGTGAATACCTGGTCTACACCACTTAAAAAGAATCTAATGAGGCTGTGGACCAGGAATTAAGTTGCGTTCTATCTAGAAACTCTACTGAATGTAGTAACCCAATCTCTTCCTGGTACTATTGCCACAGAGTTTGTCCTTGCTGTTCTTAAAACAATGAATTTCCCTGCTTATAATGTAACTGTCTCCTGGGAGTTACTGGTTACATCCTCTTCCCGATGTGAGGAATTTTGTAACATTCAAGAATCTTTTTTTCTTTCCTTAAATTTGACTATAGCAGAAGCTTTTGTTTCCATCTACATATTATTCTCTTAATTTCTGCAGTGTTTCTGGAGCCATTGTCTGTTCGCCACCTGAAGCAGCATCTGAAATCGTGATAGATGCATTACGAGCGGGTAAGGGCAATTGAAGATGCATTACGAGCGGGTAAGGGCAATTCTGCAGCAAATTCTGCAGATCTGCAGCAAATTCTCTATTATTGTATAACATGTCAACCACTGTTTGCTTCAGAGGAAACACCATTTGGATAGACAGAGAGTGAACTCGAAAACTGAGAACCTAATTTTGAAATTTCTCCTTATTGAAGATTTAACACAGGATATACAGTGCTATAATTTTGAAATTTCTCCTTATTGAAGATTTAATACAGGATATACAGTGCTAGGGTCTCGATCTTGTACCCCCGAAGACACTGACAAAACTGCTGCTGACCTCATGGAAGCAGGATTAGGCCCAGTTAAAGTACTAAATTGTCTGTTTTTTTTTTTTAATAATTGTAACACTAAGGACAGGCCAAACTGCCCAGGATTAGGCCCAGTTAAAGTACTAAATTGTCTGGGTTTTTTTTTAAATAATTGTAACACTGACAGGCCAAACTGCTCATCTTCCTGCTTTCCTATATTTCTCCAGCCAAAGGTCAGCCATATATTTGTTTTGAATGCTTGTTTAAATGAAAGTTGTTCCAAGAATGAAGTCCTTGTTTGCGTTTTACCTACGACAATTGAAGAACATCTGCCCCAACAAAATATTGCATTTATGATCACTTTGTTAGGGAAATCTGTGTCAGAGCTGGGATTGTCAATTTCGGCCCTATGCCCATGCGCTATTGTATCAACCCACTTTAGTAGGGTGTTTATCTTGTAGTCCCCTCTGCTCTCATTTGCTGTCTCATGGCTGAGTTGTGGCAAGTACAGCATGTGCATGTGTGGAAGAGAACATAAGAGCAGCCAGACTGGGTCAGACCAAAAGTCCATCTAGCTCAGTGCCTGGCCACTGTTGGAAGACAAGTGTCAGATATCCCAGAGGAAATGAACAGAACAGGGAGTCATCACGTGATCCCTCTCCTGTTATCCATTTCTAGCCTCTGACAAATAGAGGCTAGGGACACCATTCCTACCCATCTTGGCTAATAGCCACAGATGGACCTAACCTCCATGTATTTATCTAGTGCTTTTTTAACCCAGTTAGTCATGGTCTTTACAACACCCTATGGCAAGGAGTTCCACAGGTGACTGTACGCTGCATGAAGAAAAACTTCCTTTTGAATGTTTTAAACTTGCTAAATATCAGAGCATTAGAAAAGTATGAATGCATTTAATCAACTGTAAATGTAGAAGAGAGCCAGCACCATGTAATAGGCCAGCTCTCTGAGGACTACAGCAGTTGCTCAGTTGACAAATAGGGTTAGACCACAGACCATCCACCCATAGACCATATTTTGAGCACCAGTGCACTAGATCAGGTTGCCTCTCTTATCTTTCTGCACATTTTTATCAGTGGAAATACTTTCCTCTGGTGGTCTATAAACTGTAGAACTCTAAACACAAATTGAGCTTCATAGTGAGTGATGTATCCGTGTTAATACTCTGTATAAACTGTAGAACTCTAAACACAAATTGAGCTTCATAGTGAGTGATGATGTATCAGTGTTAATACTCTGAACAGGACTGACTTAAGGAATTACAAATTAAGGTGTTCTTAATTCAATAAGGCCCTCCCATCAGCATTTATCTCAGGGATTATTATTCCTCTCCAGTGATTTAGAATCACTTGCCGCCTGCATCTTTATACCTTGCAGCTTCCCTTGAGGAATACACTGTACGCCTAATTACATAATTAGGGAGAACTTAGTCCACTGAAGACATTAACCCTAGTGACTTGTGATGTCAATAGTTTGTACACTGTTGTTCTGACGACAGATAACTGAAATGTGTGTTCAGAGACACAGCTAGGAATATGAGAGGCAAAGAAGATCAGAGTTTCATTATCTCTAGAAACAATCACTTCTTGAGGTCTGCAAATGCAGGTTGAACCTCTAGTCCAGCACACTCTGGTCTGGCAACATCTGTGGTCCAGCATGATTTTAGTGAGCCATATGTCCATTTATCCTGGGTGTTGCCAGGTTTCCTGTGGTCCCATAAAATTTGTTTACAGCCACCAGTCCTGACTCTGAGCTCTGTGCTGTTCTTTAGCTCTAATTTACCCCAAAATGACTTCTAAGCACCCAGTAAGCAGTGGAAGGGTTGGTAATGCTGCTGGTTTGGCAAATTCTCTTGTAAGGCAATGGTCAAGTCCCGAGGGTGCTGAATTAGAGAGGTTCAACCTGTAGTAAACTGTAGCTGTAGGTATAGAAAATCATGCAACACAAACTCTTTTTTTCAGTTTTCTGAAACCTTGCCTCTGGAATGTATTGACTTGTATAGAAAACTGCAGAATATATAATATTCAATGTGGATTTTGCCCTGCTCTCAATTTTGTATTCTATAACATTTACATAGGGAAAGGCGTGCTTTGTGAGAAGCTACCTGGTTTAGATAGGCAGACAGCAGAGGCCTGTTTTGATGAAGCTGACCGATGTGGAAGACCATTGGTCTGTGGATTCTACAAGTAAGAGACTAACATTTTTATGTTTTCAACATGTTGTTATAAAGATGCATACATGTAATGTTTACATATGATGAAACTTTCATACATTTTACTAGCTACATCCCTCTTGTTTTAGAGAAATTTTGCTTAGAAAGTTGCTAAACAGAAAGCTTAGTGGACTTGCTACTTCAAAATTCTTTGTCCACACTTCATAGAGATAAGTGTCAAATATTTTCATAATTGGCATTTAATTATAGTGTAATTTATTCATTTACACTAGATTGGGTGCTCACAGAATTTGCATGACAGATACCTAAATTAAGATTTTCAAATATAGCTAAGCGTGTACTTAGATGTCTAAGTGAGAAAGGTATTCCTGAAAATTTTATTCCAGACCTTTTTTGGAGGTGATAAAACATACTGGTAGTTAAAATTACAGAGTAATGCTAGGGATCAGTTTTGTTGGTCTGGGATTTCAGAAAAAAACGAAGTGGGAAGTTTATATGTTTTGTGTCTGTGCATACAGTCATCTGATTCAGCAGCCATGTGGTTTTGGTAAGAGTCAGATGATTTGAGATCTGCATTTTCCTGCTCTCACTTGCAAAACTAAATGCTTTCCATAAATGTCAAGTCTAGTTAAAAAAAAAAAAAAACCCTACAACATTAAGCCTTGTACAAAGTACAATTCCACCTTGTAGACAATTTCTGCTTATGTTCATTGCTCTTGTTTTCTTTCAAACAGTCAGAATTTGCAGACCTTATTTGTTTGTTTTGTTGAATAATGACAATTCTCTTGCAACAATAGAAAAAAGAAGTAGTAAATAGGTTCTGTTTTTCAAAGTATCGCCACATAGAGATTTTATATATTTTGGAAACTTACATTTATTTTGATTCTTTGATATTTGTTACTGACATGCTAGCTGTGTCCTGACTGAAATATGCTAACCCTTCTTCTATGGACCATACATAGTTATAGGATGTAAAAAATAGACTAGGTTCTAAAGTGGTAATGT